TGCATCTTATAAGGGTACATGTGAAATTTACCAAATGTAGAATATAAATGTCTTAACACAATAACTAAGAAAATGTGGCTAAGGCTATGTTAACCAATTTGATGAAAATATTTCAAATTATATATAAAACCAGCATATCGTACCCCATGATTACATTAATGTACACAGCTGTAATTTAATAAAAAAAAAAAAAAGAAAGAAAGAAAAGAGTAAAAAGAATGTATACAGAAGAGTACTATAGAGAATGGTTCTCAAGTGCCATTAAGAAGGCACCATATAAGAGGGGAGATAGTGTAATAAAAGAGACACCAAATAGGAAACTGAGAAACAACAAAAAGTAGGAGAAATACCCATAAAGCACGTATCATAAACTAAGGACAATGACGTTCCCAGAACACAATGAATACGTTGAATGCAGATTGATGGATGAATAATGTCATGCATTGCAGAGAAATCAAATTAGTCAGAAATTACAAATAAACAGAACAGTGCCTCTTAAAGACAGGCAATTTAATAATGGAAAGCAGAATGTAATAGACATAAGGATGAATGATAGGAAAGAAAGTAGAGATATCAGGAGCAGATTCATTCAAAAATGTTACGTGCTTTCTATGTTGTAGGCACTGCACCATGTGTAGATTTAGAGAGGTTAATGAAAAAGCCACAATGTACTCACTGAACTTATAGTTGGCTGGTATAGAAAAATCTTTAGTCAATTAAAAATAAATTTAAGAGCTCTCATAGGAGGTTATGTGGGAAAACATACAAGGCATGTGACATTTACTTGACACCTTAAGGGTGAATGGATATTAACTCTGTAGAGAAAACAAGATCTGCATTCAGTGAACCAAACAGCATTCACCATGGAGCCTGGTGTGCTGCAAAGGAGAGTATTAGGTAGAGAGGGAAAAGGCACAGACTGAAGAAGGCCTCTTACTCAGTTTAAAAAGTATGCATTTGAGTCTCAGGCAATAGATTATTAAATATATTAAATGTATCTCATGGAAGACTGGGATGCTCAGACATGTTCTAAAAGGAGGCAGATAAGCTTGGGACATATTTAAGAAGTCAAATAACATCATTGATTGATTAGATGAAGACATGTGGAAACAAGTATAAAGGATGGATGCTTGTGGGCTTAGCCAACTGGGCTGCATAGACAATAATGCCCTTTCACAGAGGGAACAAATGTAAAAAGTTGAATTCTGGACAAGTCACATTTGACAGTGCTTCTATAACAT